ATCTATCTATCTATCTATCTATCTATCTATCTATCTATCTATCTATCGACTTATCTATCTTTCTCTGTAGAGCCTTGGCTGTCTAGACTCACTTTGTAGACCAGGCTGCCCTCGAACTCAGAGCAATCCACCTGCCTCTGCCTCCCAAGTGCTGTGATTAAAGGCACACTCTATCATGCCTGGCTTAACTTCAACTATTTATTACTTAAAAATAATTGTGTGTTTTTGCAGGAATCTGCAGAGGCCTGAGACAGCATTACGATCCCCTGGAACTGGAGGTGTAGAGAGATAGTGATAAACTCCTGTGTGGTTTATGAGAACTGTATTAGGATTCTCTGCCAAACCACAGTAGGAAGCTTTTATAACCACTGTGTCATCTCTTCATTCTGTTTTCAGTCTAAAACTTAATCAGTTTAGCCGGGCATTAGTCCCCCCACTCGTGAGGCAAAGGAAGATGGATCATTGGTTTCTAGGACAGCCAGGTCTACATTATGACTTCCAGGCAAGCCAGTGGTATGTATAGAGTGCCTCAAAAACTAATAAAAGAATTAATCAATTAAAAATCGACAGCTAACTTAGAATGCTATTGGCTACTCTCATAACAGTCATGTCACCATTGCACCAATAGTCATATCCTAACATGCTCATTGTTATTGTAGCTCAGTAAGACTGACTTTTATCCAGCATCTTGTATGTCACCTTTGGACACTGAAAACTATCCAGCAAACAGTCTTCTGGCTCAGTTACTATTTGACTGATATTCCTGTTTTCTGCAAATAAACTATGTGGTACCTTTAGCAATAGACAGTTGACATCTAGTTCTGGTGGAAAACATAAAGTAACTGCCATAGACTACTTATTTTAGGCACACAGGTGAGCAGGGAGTCTTCACTACACTGCCCGCTCAAGGGACGTATTTCACACCTGGCAGATGGTGGTTTGTAGAGATGATTTTTTTTGGGGGGGGGTTAGATTATATAATAATTTGTTGAAAATGTCTTTCCTCCAATGTGTATTAGGTCATCTTTGTCAAAACGTAAGGTAAATGTAGTTGCATGGAACTTGCCTCCATTTCTTTCCTCTATTTTGGTTCCATTGTTCTAAGCATTTGGGTCTTTTTTTTTTTTGGGGGGGGTCTTTTTTTTTGGTACCTATTCCATATTAATTTTGTTACTATGGCTCTGTAGTATAACTTTAAGTCACGTAATCCTTCCATTATTATTATTTTTGTCAGAATTTCTATTTCTGTGAACAGTGTCACTGGCATTTTGATGGAGATTGTTTTTAGTCTGGAAATTGTTTTTGATTGTTGCTCAGTTTCACAATATTAATTCTACCAACTAATCCTTAATTACCTTTCCATTATCTAGTTCCTTTATCTGTTTCTTGAGTTTGAGAGTTGTAGTTGCAGAGGTCTTTCATACCTTTGGTTCAGTTTATGATTAAGTATGTCTTATTAATTTATGCCTTTTAATTTTGAGACAATTTATAACCAGCTTCCCAGATTTTCTTTTTAGTGTGTTTGGTATTTATAGATGGCTAAAGTAATGTATATTCTCAATACTGAAAGTTTGATAAAGATGTTGATTAATTCTAGTTTTCTGGTGGAGACTAAGGGATATCTTTTATAATATCATAACATCTTCAAACAGATAACTGACTTCTTTGTTTCTTCCTATTTCTATTTTGTTCCTCTTTCTATTTCATTATCTTCTTTACTATATTGAATAAGAGGAACTCAGTGACATCGCTGTCTTGTTCCTCATTTTATTGTGATTGTTTTCATTTTAGGACTGTCATTTTTTGCCTTTATTATGTGGAAGTTTGCTACCTACAATAATAACTCTTCTAGATTGGTGTTTTTATTTTTTTTTATATCATGTAGTATTGTTAGATTTTTGTAAAAGGAATTTTCTGCATCTTTAGAGATGGACATGTGACTTATCTTTATTATGAGATTTATTAGATTTATTAATGTGTGTATGCTGAACTACCCCTATCACTTTTTGATAAAACCAGGTTGATTACAGTGAATGATGTTTTTTGATGTATGTCTGTATTAATTTGTGGGTATTTGGGTTGAAAAATTTTACATGTTTATTAGGGATTTTGGTCTGTTATTTTCATTCGTTGTGACTTTACCTGCCTTTGATACTGCAGTAATAATAGCTTCACTGGAAGGGTTTGCATTTTTCTGTGTGTGTGTGTGTGTGTGTGTGTGTATTCCTTTTCCTTCCTTCCTTTTTTTCTTTGCTTTTTTCTTTCTGTTCATTTTCAATATAGGGTTTTGCTGTGAAGCCCTGGTGGTCCTAGAGCTTGCCATGTTGATAAGGCTTGCCTTGAAATCAGATCCATGTGCCTCCATCTCCTGAGTTGCTAGGCTTGGAGGTGTGTGCCACCACTACATGGCTAATGCTTTTTCTAATAACCTTTTGAAATTTAGACATTCATTTACACACATCATTATCCATGAGTTTGACTTTACTGGGATTATGGATGCTGGCATCTTTAAATATTATGATTGGTTAAATTTTAGGCAGTAGTAACTTAATGCTGAGCATGATGATGCTTGCCATTAATCCCAGCACTCAGAAGGCAGAGGCTGTAAGGCTAGCCAGGTCTACATAGTGAGTTTCAAGACAGCTGGAGAAATGTACAGGAACACTCTGTCTCAAAAAGAAGTAATGTGCTACCTTGAAGCACAGCGTGCTACATTTGTTTGTGAAACTACACACTGAAACAAAGATTTGCTAGTTGGGTTAATGGTAATACTTTAGTATAGGAAAGAAAAATGCTATAGGAAAAATCAAATAAGATTATACATCATAGGCTGAGAGCTACATAAACTTTGGAGTGAAAAGTGGCTTTAGAATTATGACACAGCTGTCTGTGATAGCACATGCCTTTAATACCAGCAATTCAGGGACAGAGACAGACAGGCAGATATCTAGGCATTCAAAGCCAGATGCTACATAGGAAGTTCTAGTTCAAACAGAGATATATAATAAGACTCTGATGTAAAGAAAAAATTAAGTTTTGTATATAGGTCAAGTGGTGGTGACTTTTAAGACTTTCAAAGTTCTTAGTTTTTCCTTACACTGTTCTGCCATCTATCCCTTGAACTCTGCCTCAGCATTCTAAATACTTTGATTACAACCATATGCCAGATCAGCTTCCACAGTTTCTGCTGGTTAATGACATACTTGGTTCTTGGTGGAGTAAGATTAGCCTTTGTAGCCGGACGTGGTGGCACACGCCTTTATTCCCAGCACTCAGAGGCAGGCAGATCTCTTGAGTTTAAGGCCAGCCTGGCCTACAAAGTGAGTCCAGGATAGCCAAGGCCACACAGAGAAACCCTGTCTCAATAAATAAAACAAAATAACAACAAAAAACAAAAACAAAAAAAGATTACCCTTTGTGATTTTTGAGGGTACCTACACATTAAATATGTTAAGCCAAAAAGTAGATGTACCTAAAAAGTAATATGAATGAATGCATGTATTGTAGTGTTTTTAAAATGCTTTAATATTATAAAGATAAATATTTAAAAAATCTTTTTGTTTTCTTTTGATAACAGCTCTGGCTGTCTTGAAACTTATTCCATAGACCAGGCTGGCCTTGAACTCAGAGATCTGCCTTCTTCTGCCTCCCAAGTGATAGCTTTAAGGTGTGCGCTGCTACCACCCAGCCATATAATTATTCTTTTTATGGGGTGGGGGTTTCAAGACCGGGTTTCTCTGTGTAGCCTTGGCTGTCCTGGAATCACTTTATAGACCAGGCAGGCCTTGAACTCACAGAGATATGCCAGCCTATGCTGCCTTGAATGCTGGGATTATAGGTGTGCACCACCGTGGCTGTCTCTCATTTGATTATTCTTAATGGAGTTTGGGAAAAACAGTCAAAACAGTCAGTTGGCAAGGTGAATTTCTTCCAAGGCAGAGGATCTGTTTTTTTTTTTTTTTTTTTTTTATCTGATTTTCTATTTATTTATGTATTGATTGATTGATTTCAATTTATACACTTTTTGTATCCTGGCTGTATTCCCATCCCTCATCTCCTCCTAGTCCCATTCCCACTCCTCCCCCTATGTCCTTTCCCTAGTCTCCTGATAGGGGACATCCTTTGTCCCTTCTTTCTGGCCCTAGCCTATCAGGTGTCAACAGGGCTGGCTGTATCATCTTCCTCTGTGGACTGGCAAGGCTGCTCCTCCCTTAGGGCTAGGTGATCAATGAGCAGGCCACTGAGTTCATGTCAGAGATACAAAGATACATGTGCAGACAAAGCAAAAGCTTTTTTTTTTTTTTAAATGCTTGAGAATAGTAGGCTACAGCTTTAAATCCACTGCTGGTACACCAGGGACAGGTCGATTTCTGGAGCTTAAAGTAAACCGTGGGTTCACAATTTAGCCAGAAAGGCAGGCAGTCAGGCATTGCTATGTATCTAGAAACATAAATTCAGGAAATCTTCACAATACTGGTGGCCAGTGGGTTTCATAGATCTTGAAGGTAAAATGAGTGTTAAGATGGAAGACTGAAATATATTCATTGTTGGATATGGGAGCATGCTATACTGTTTGAAAAAGTTTTGTTTCTTAAACTGTAGATTGAAGTGCAGTCAGTTATAATATGCTTTCCTCTGTAGGACCCCTCCACTGTTTGTGAAACTTTGATCAAAATTACATTGTGTCTAAGAGCCTGCATCACACCTTTATTTATAACCCTCCCCCGAGTATTAAAGATCTTGAAATTTTACTGTTGACAACAGCTATTGTGGAACAGCAATCATGGTAAGTTGTACATTAAAACAAAGGGTTGGATACCTATTGTATTGACTCCAAGTCCTTGTTTCTTAAAATGTTGGATTTTTCAGTTCTGAAATTTAGAAATGGATTTATCCATAGACATGGGTGCTTATTATATTGCTTATCAATTAAGATATGATCTATTATTGTCCTGTTTATGGTGGTCAAAAGCTTTGGAAAGAGTGACAGGGGATGTCTTATCATTTAGATTTTAGTCGATTATAGCTTTTAAGGGATTAACCTTTAAATAGATGACTTTTTGATTGATAAAATTGCAGAATACCATCATAGACTACTAGGAAAGAGCATCTTTTGATTTAATTAACATAGAGAAGTAAAATTGGAGAAAGAGATTATCCTAAGTAGAGTACTGTTATTCTGTAAGTCAAGGGCAGAGATTTGCAAAGCAAAAGGATGTTACTCTCAAATTCAAGGGTTGTGACTCATGCCTAAAACCCCTACTTTGGGGAGTTAGAGGCAGGAAGAGTAAGGGCTCATAGTCATCTGGGTAGTAACTTCAATACCAATCTTGCTACCCTGATTCATTTATAAAACTATCAAAAGAATCTTAATAATAGTGATGTAGGTCTGAATCTGGGAGCCGTTTGAGGAATTAATGGATCATTGTCAGTTCATGGAGTTGGTATTTGTTGTTTTTTTTATTGAGGTACTTTTTTAGGTCGAGTTGATATTTGGGTATTTGTTTTTTTTTTTATTGAGGTACTTTTTTATGTTGACAAAGTAATTCCTAGGGCTAGGTGCTCTGTTAGAAGTTTATAAATTCTTATTGGAAGGAAAGCATGAAAATTTAATAGCAACTCTAAAGGACAATTAGGTGGAGTCTCCATCTTAGGAATAAATTTAGTAGTCTTACTAGATCCTTTCTTAGGGTTCTGAGACAGAGATTTAAAGTCATCTGTAGTCAAATTGATATTATAGTATTCAGAAAATGAAGAATAAAGGGAGACTTTATTAAACTTGGTTATAAATGTAGGTGATGACCAAAGACTTGTTAAAAAAGAACTGGTCTACAAATGAACTTATCACTGATGTTTTTTACCACTTGCAGACCGTGGGTAAGAGTAGCAAAATGCTGCAGCACATTGATTATAGAATGAGATGTATCCTGCAAGATGGAAGAATCTTCATTGGCACCTTTAAGGCTTTTGACAAGCATATGAATTTGATCCTCTGTGATTGTGATGAGTTCAGGAAGATCAAGTAAGTCTGTTTTGAGTCCTTGATGTCTACATGTAGAAAAATGTAAATAAATCCATATTTATCACCCTGCACAAAATTAAAGTCCAAGTGGATCAAAGATCTCAACATAAAACCAGATACACTAAGTGTGTTAGAAAAAGTAGGAAAGAGCCTTGATCTCATTGGTACCTGAGACAGCTTCCTGAACAAAACACCAACAGCACAGGCTCTTAAGATCAATGGAAAAACAATTTTAGTATTTATACATGGTAACTAATTCCTCAGAATAAGCAGGCAGTTAAATTACTGTTTACATATGAAACTTTACATAGTTTTGTCTTAATTGTATGGATCAGAAAAAATTATTTCACTGATTTGTATTTAATTTTCATTTATAGGCCAAAGAATGCAAAACAGCCAGAGCGTGAAGAAAAACGGGTTTTAGGTCTGGTGTTGCTTCGTGGAGAGAACTTGGTTTCCATGACTGTGGAGGGTCCACCTCCTAAAGATGTAAGGAAGGTGTAGGGCAAGATATGTTTTTGGCTTCATTTCAATTTATACTTGAAGGTTAGATCTGTAATGTGGAAGATACTTTGTTCTTTGATTGTCTTTATCATTATGCAGTAGAGGCACGTTATTACATACTTAATCTAATAAAGTGTGCCTACTACTTAATATCAGTACTGGGTTTAGATGTATCTTTGGGAATAAAGGATTTATTTGATTCTACCTATGTGCTGTATATTTACTAAGTTATGGTAAGGAGTTGACTTTTTTTTAATAAAATACACTTTTATTTTAAGTTATTTTGGTGTTATATAAGGTATAACATTTTTACAAGGCTTTTTGTGATGGCAGTCAATAATTTGCAAACCCACAGTATAGTGGTCCAGCTCTTGAAAGAACAATCACTGGAAAAAATGGATACCCTCTTAAATTTGTGTAAATCTGCATGGAAAAGTAGTATAGTTTGGACTTGGATTTGTATACTTTATTTCTCCTTTGCAGTAATTTAACTGAGTTAATTTGTCTGAAGCAATGGTTTTACTCTGATAGCAACATGCTAAGTCTATTACAAGGTAAAGTGACTACCAGAGATTCCCATGAAGGTTGGAGTTATTAGTGATTTTCCTTTTAATTAGGAAGGAAGTTGTTTAGGAGTTGACCTCTTTGTGTGCAAGAAGATAGTTTGCAAAGCATATATTCAAAATCTGAAGAGTTCTGTTATGTTATACCATCATATTTATTAATTTATATATAGAGTGAATAGAAGATAGGTGGATTGTGAACGTGACTAATAATTTGACTTTCAACAAAATTTGAACAAATTTGCCATGTTTTGTAAACAATACATTTTGTTTTTAATTTCAGACTGGCATTGCTCGTGTGCCACTTGCTGGTGCTGCAGGTGGTCCTGGGGTTGGGAGGGCAGCTGGCAGAGGGGTACCAGCTGGTGTACCTATTCCCCAAGCTCCTGCTGGATTAGCAGGCCCTGTCCGAGGAGTTGGAGGTCCATCCCAGCAGGTGGGAACCAGAACAAGGTTTTCTATTAATGAGAAAATATGACTAGAGCCTGAGAATGAGGAATTGTGGAAACAGGCTATCTGTCTGTCTGTCTATGATTTAAGTTGTATATGTTCTAAGAAGACTTGATATTCAAAACTTGATACTCAGGTCTGTAGACGGGGACTAATACTTGCTAAGTATATGCCAGTTTGAAAAAAAATCAAAGGCTTAGAAAATGTTAAAATGTCAATATTTAAAAACATGAGACTTAAGCTGAATGAAGGAGTGCATGCCTTTAATAGCATCCACCATTCTGGAGGCCAAGGCAGGCAGGTCTCTGGCCTCTAAGGTTGTCAGGACTACTACATAGAGAGACCATTGTCTCAAAACAATAAATAAGCCAAGAAGCCACTGTTCACCAAACTGAAACTCACAAAAACAAACAAACAAAAAAACCAAAAAAACCCTGGAACTGCAGCATAGTGAGATTATTTGCTTAGCATACATAAATTCTAGGAGTTAATCTTCATGAGCTACATTTATAGTAGAAGATAATCACTATTCATTTTCTTGGAAAATGAAAGTATTCCTCATCTTTCTTGTCATCTTGGTATAATTTCTCAGGTCATGACTCCACAGGGAAGAGGTACTGTAGCAGCTGCTGCTGTTGCTGCTACTGCCAGTATTGCTGGAGCCCCAACACAGTACCCACCAGGACGGGGAACTCCTCCTCCACCTGTAGGTAGAGCAACCCCACCTCCAGGTAAGGGCTTTATGATAGTGATTTGAATTTCTAAGAGGTACTACCATCTTGAGGAAATAACATCTTAAAGCATTATGAATGATATGAGATGAGGCATCATCTCTTTGCCTTGCTAAGTTTAGGAACTGTGCTACCAGTTTTACTTTCTTTTTACTGAAAATTAATTTTTTTGTTTTGTTTTGTTTTGGATTCCTCTGTAGCCCTGGAACTTCTCTTTAGACCAGGAGGGCCTTGAACTCATGAAAATCTGCATGCCTTTGCCTCCTGAGTACAGGGAGTAAAGGTGTGTTCTAATGTGCTCTGCTCTGTGCTGTGGCAAAAAGTTTTTTTTTTTTTTTATTAATACAGAATATTCTGATTATGGGTTTTCCCCCTCCAACTCATCCCTACTTTCTCATTCACCAAAATTGACGCCCTTTCTATCTCATATTACGTTTTGAGAAGGCATCTAAATAACTGAAGTAATGTGAAATAAAAGCAAACAAAGCAGATTTGACAAAAACAAACAGCAGAAAAAGAGCTAAAGAAATATCCAAAAAAAAAAAAAAACAAAACCAAAACACACACACACCAAAAAACCCAAAACCCTTATACTGAAGCACAGTCACTCTCAGAAAATCCATAAAACAAAACCAGAAATCATAATATGAAAGCAAAAATTAAAATTAGTTAATATTCAGACAAAGAATTATGAGACAAAACCAAAAATCCTATTGAGTTATTTTTGTTTTGGCCATCTACTGCTGGGCATGGGCTTATCTATAAGTGTGGGTTTGCCTCTAATTTTTTCTTTGCATGTAGTTACCAATTGGGGATAGCTTATGAGGTAGGGTGAGAGCTTGTTTCCACTTCTGCTCTCAGTACTGGGATCCCACATGACATGTGCACACTCTGCATGCTACTACTACATCTGAGTTCATGTGTCTAGAACTTGTGGTTTTCCCTTCTCTCTCTTTCTTTCTTTCTTTCTTTCTTTCTTTCTTTCTTTCTTTCTTTCTTTCTTTCTTTCTTTCTTTCTCTTCCATCTTCATTGAGTCTTGCAATTTCTTCTCTTCTTCAGTAGAGTTCACAAGGGGGGTGTAATTTGACGGAGGCATCCCATTTAATACTGAGTATTCCAAGACCTCTTACTCTGTACATTGTTTGATGTGGGTCTCTATTTCTGACTATTGGAGGAGGAAGCATCTGTGATCTATGAATATCGCAAAATGTTGTTATTGCTACAGTCCTTTAGCAGAACAGTAATATTTTGTTTTCCCTAGGTTTGTGGCTAATCTAGTCTCAGGTTCTTGGGTTCAGTTCTGAGAAGCTGTGTGTCTGGGATAGGTTTCATCTCTAGAAGTGGACCTTAAATCCAACCAGATAATGCTTACTCCCACAAGCTTGTACCACTGTTGCACCAGTGCATCTTTCTGACAAGTCAGCGTTGTAGGTCATAGAGTTTAAAGTATGGTTAACATACTACTTGTAATGAAAGGTTATAGATTCTTTGGAATTGGGGTGACACTCTGGTATTATAGTATAAGAAAGTTCATTTCTCATTAACATTTTTGACTTATTTCTTTAACCACTATTCTTTTTTTTGTGCAAAATCGTAACAGCTTTACTGAGCTGATATATGAAGAGTTTACTTATATTTGTGAATTTATCAGGAATTATGGCTCCTCCACCTGGTATGAGACCACCCATGGGCCCACCGATTGGCCTTCCCCCTGCTCGAGGGACACCTATCGGCATGCCCCCTCCAGGAATGAGACCCCCTCCACCAGGAATTAGAGGTTAGTGGTTATTTTAGGACCTCAGAATGATATCCAGGTCCTTCAATATTTATATACTTTTGATAACTTTAATGGAATTTTGTTATTTTTTTCCTTTCTAGGCCCACCTCCCCCAGGAATGCGTCCACCAAGACCCTAAGATATGGTTGATAAATATCAGCCCTTCTATTCCCTGGAATGCATCTTGTGAAATTGTGTAGCCTGCAAGCTTTTTTGACCCCTCTTACTGCATTAATTATAGATAATAAATACATAGAGCAATTGAATTGAGGTTTTTCCTTGTCTGTTGATTTTTGTTAAAGTCAGTGAAACTGAATGTTTTTTGGTGGTGGAATTATTGTGAAACATTATGTTAATTTTATATTAAGTACATCCAGACATGCATTTTACTAAAGGTAGATTCTTAGGATAAAATGGTTGTGATGTATTTTCTTGAATCCTGACATTTATTTCATGCATTAGCTCAAAACCTTGTAAATAAGGAAAGTCAATATTTATTTGATAAGGTTCACATAGTATTTTGGTCACTTTAGTGTGTCATAATAAAGGTGTGAAAGATTGTTAATCAGATATTTAAATTCACTTCAATTTTGCACTGGCCTTTCATTTTTGCTCATTAAAACTTGCAATACAAGTTAATGATTTTGATAAAGGGATTACTTAGTGGGTCAGGTTTTCCATTTGTTTGAGTATGGAAGGCCTGATATGGTATTAATTTCTCACCATGTATTCTACAAATGCTAAATAAGTGTCAGTTCATTGGAAAACAAGGTTGTGCATGATTGATAGAGGCATATGGCACAATAAAATTATATTAAGTTTATAACTATTATCACCATTAGTGTGGTATTTACTACAACCACTGGGAAAAGCAGATGGTATCTTTGAGTTATTTAGTAAAGGAATCTCTTGCTAGATAATTTTAGTTTGAATTAGTCATCAAATCAGAAAGCTGTTATGAGTGAACAGCTTTCTAGATAGAAGTAATGAGAGAATTGCCTATTTTTAAAGAAGAAATAATCTAATACCTGAGTATTATACTTACATCATTTTTCCTCTCTTCCTTTTAGTTCTTCTTACATTCTTCAAACATGCTTTATTACTTGACCTTCTAAAATTACACACACAAACACACAGACACACATACTACATACCCCATGTACTGGGTCAGTTTTGTTTCTTGTCTATGAAGATAAATTATTGGGTCTTTTGTCTGAAGGAAACTGATTCTCAGCTGTCAATGATAGTTCTTTGTCTGTGGCTTTGTGACATCTCTAGTATCCATGTCATTTGTCTGCTGGTGGTATTGCACATGTCTTGTTTTAGTAATAATATTTTTGAGATTTTGTGGATATCACTTCTCTGTAGTGTTTAAAGCCCCCCTCCCATATTCTAGATGCTGATAAGAGGAGACTCTGAGATTTGTTATGAGTGATAAAAGCACATTTGAAAAAAAATTATTGTCTTTTTCCTGAACAAATGTTGATCCGCCCAGCCCTGCTTTTTTATTTTTCCAAATCAGAGGTGAGATATAAATACCTACTAGCCCTGCTTTTTTATTTTTCCAAATCAGAGGTGAGATATAAATACCTAGCTTGTAAGATCTTCATCTTTGAAAGATATTTTGCTAGTATAAATACTATTCTCTTTGCCTACATTCTTCTTGGAATTTCATTAATGTTATTTACCAGTGTGCTCTGTATTATAGACAATTATAAAAATTTTTCTTAAAAATTTCTTCAGGTTAGAAATAGACATCAAGATGCCACTCGATAAATTTCCATGTAAGTACTTTTTATATAAGACTTCTAATTACTTAAAAAACACCCTACATTCTCATGTAAGTTCATGCTGTCATGAACTTTCATCCGTCTACCTCAACCCCCTAAGTGCTAGTATTATAGATATTTCTACAATGCCCTATTTCATACTAATTCTTACTTTGAGATGAGTCCATGTTTCCTAAAACAATTTGGGAGTATCTCCCTGATTTCTTATGCATAGTTAATAGCTCTGAATCAATAAATAACTTTTGATTGGCATCATTTATTTAGCAGAGGATATGGAAGTTTATTTGGAAACAACAGAAGGAATACATAAAAAAAGATTAAAAAAAAAAGAACATTGAGGTTGAGTACGCAGGTCAGTTCTTCTGAGCATGCATGATGCTATGAGGTTGAGTCCCCAGAATCATAAACCAGTTACATTGGTCCACACTGGAAGTGGAGGCAGAGAGGTCAGTAATCCAGTTTCAAGGGTATATAGTGAATTATAGGACAGTCTTTGATAAATGAAATCCTGTATCAAAAAATATTTTGAAGATTATTTAGAAAGTATCTTTCAGCTTTTTAGGCCTTAATTGTGATCTATTTTTTTGTTAGACATCTGTTATTAATATATTAGAAGCTGGTTTCTCTAAGAAATGAATTTTTCTTCTTTATAGTAGGACACTAGATGTATGAAGTGAATTATAAAAGTTATACTGTAAATCTAAAGTGATTTCACAGCCTTATTTTTGTGTCTATCTAATGATTTTAGGAGGTTTAAATGCTTAAAATTTTGAAATTGCTTCTTTCTTTCTTTAAAATAAGCAATTTGAAATACTTTGAAAGAAGGTATTCATCATGCCTTTTTTGGTTTATAGGTATCATCTCAGTATATTAATTTTAAAACATATTAAAGCATATTATTTTTTGCAGAACACTATCTGATCCTGAAATAGGATATATCTGTGTTCATTGTATTGAAGTGTCATGTGATGTCCTGTCAACTTAGTCGATGAGTGAAGAATTTCTTCAAGGAATGTTAAGATTCATAAGCTTGAATACCACCCTGTAGTGTAAATCATAATATCTGCATTTACGACAGACATTCAAGACATCCAAGGTAATGTAAGTTTTGATGAAAATTAGCCTTCTACAGAAGCCTTGACTAGTTTTATGATGACATAGGATCTTGTCTGACCATAAGGATATCAAAAGTTGAGGTTAGATTAATTCTGAAATCTAGTCAATGTGTCTCACCATATTACTTTAATTATTCTTGATAGAAAATATTTGTTTAGATGGTGTGTGCATACTTGTAATAATCACACCTTGTGGGGATGCTCTGGTGAGGCCATCCTAAGCTACATAATAAGACCCTGTCATAGAAAATTAAAGCAAATAATCATGTATGTTACAATAACTTTGCATACTAAGAACTGGAAAGTGCGGTATTGTACTTTCATGTTTTCTCTAATATCTTTTATTATTATTAATTACAATTTATTCACTTTGTGTCCCCGCTGTAGCCCCTTCCCTCATCTCCTCTCATTCCCACAGTTCTTCCCTCTTCTTGCCACCCACCATGTCCCTCTTCTAGTACACTGATAGGGGAGTTCCTCCTTCCCTACTATCTGACCCTAGCCTATTAGGTCTTATCAGGACTGCCTGAATCCTCTTTCTCTGTGACTTAGGAATGTCACTTTGCCAGGGGAGGTGATAAAAAAGCAGGCAACTGAGTTAATGCCAGAGACTGCCCCTTTTCCCCTTACTAGAGAACCCTCATGGAGACTGAGCTGCACAAGGGTTACATCTGAGGAGGGGGTCTAAATCCTCTCCATGCATGGTTCTTGGTTGATTCATCCATCTCTGCAGATCCCTGTGGACCTAGATATTTTTGGCTGTGTTGGTCTCCTTGTGGAGCAACTGTCCCCTTGAGGTCTTTCTATGTCTTTCTTCTTCCATAATATTCCCTGCACTAGTATCTTTTAATAGTTATTTTAAAGTAATGTTTTCTTCATTATGTATTTGTTGAAAGCAAAAATATGTCCTTCGATCAAAAAAGGCGTAGGCACCTGGTGATATGGATGTAAGGATTTATAAAAATGGAGCTCCCAACTCTTGGAAAAATGGAAAGCCCCTTTCCAGATTGTAAGTTATACCAGCCCGGAGGAAATGGTAATGTTAATGGAGCATGTACATTGTGGAATGTAGTGAGTATAGCAAGAACCTATTCTGATATCTATAATTTGAATAATATGATTAGATCCCATCATAGTAAATGAATAAATATAGCTGTTCTTCATTATATTAGAAAATAAGTTTTAGGTATTATATGTATTTTCTTGATATATAACATGAAGAACTAATGACTACTTGTTAGCTGTACCCATATTCTGATATCTTAGCTAACTAGCTAAACAGTGCTTAAATATTTGTATTTGTTCATGTAGTTTTTTAAAACCTTGTTACTGTGTATTTGTAGGAATGATTTAGTTATCTTTGGTAAAACATAAAACACAAATGCCATTAATTTTATTGGTGTGGATCATAACTTGGGTTACTGTTGCAAATTGTCAAGAGGTTCATTGGTAATATTTTTTTAAAAATGTTTTACAATGTTATATTTATTTTGTGTTTGTAATGTCAGGTTAATAACATTCAGCTAGTAGCTACAGCTTTTGTCGCTTACGTGGTGATATAAAATTAATGACATAAAAACAAGCCGTTCAATAATTCTTTGACTCTTTTGGTACCTAATTTTATACCTTTTAAGTTTTCATCTAGATGGGAAACATTCTAGAGTAATATCAGACTAAAGTCACTAAAATAGAACCAAAAATGTCTCATCATTCTGAGGTATTGACTTGAATTAAGAAAAGAAAGATGAAGTAACTAGTATGCTAACATCTGGAGGACTGTAATGAGCAAAAGGCTCAATTGTTAGCAAATAAAAATTATTTTAATGGTAGCATACAATGCATGCCTTACAAATGATGTTCTGAAAGTAACCTCCCCACATGCACAGTATCCAAAAATAGAATCCTAACAATCTTCTGGAAATAAACTAATGAACTCTTAAACAAGGCAGGGGAGTTCTCAGTTACTTTTATTATTATCCACATAATGAAATAACACCAATTAGAGATACAAAGCCACATGTTGGTACCTGTTCCATGTCTGGGGGACACCATATTGAGATCAACCTTCCCCCAAAACATGTCAGAGCAGAAATACAGTTATCAGCTCAAAGAGCGAGTTTCTTCTAGAGAATAATATGAAGGGTCAAGGAGGATTCAAGTTGCCTCATGATTCACCATGCTTAGTACCAGTTGTATGGTGCTTTTATAATAATACTATATAATAATATAATTTAAATTAAGAATATAATATTTACTTTGCCAGCTCTATACACCAGGCTGTCCTCAACATAACTTTGATCTCCTTGCTACACTCAGCAGACAAAGGCCTTTGTCTGCTGAGTGTAGCATGAAAGGCATAAAAGGCATAAAAGGCATAAAAGCTAGTTCTTTGTTAAGAACACATTTTAGAGCTGTGTACACATCTATAATCACAGCACTCAGAGGCATAGGCAGCCAGATCACTGTGAGTCCAAGGCTAGGCTGGTCCAGGACAGCCAAGGTTGTACAGAGAAACCCTGTCTCAAAAAAACAAAATAAATAAATAAAGGCAATTTAGAACTTCCACTAATTATCAAGATGTTAAGTTAGGGCTAATTGTAATCAGTGAATTGCTTTAAAAGTGGCTAAAAATAGCACAAGTTAGATTAAGTTTTGGTTTGTTACTCTGCGTTATAAAATATTGTCACTTGCCATTATAGAATCATCAACAAATGAGTTCCTTTTTTGTACTCCTCAAAGTTTCAGTTAACAGATGTTTAAATTGGATTATAAAAACCTTGGTAAGGATTAAAAAAAACCTTGGTAAGAAAATAACTTGTTGATAAACAATCTGTAAGAGGTATCAACTCTGGGATGATTTACTTGTGGAAACGGATGAGTATGTATATATAGATTTGTTCTATGGAACCTAGGATATTTTTTGCTTGTTTGATCTGTTTGTGCCTCTGCATTTATTTGCATATTGAATATATTTTTATGCTGTGAATTGAACCGTAGAGCCTTGAACACTGTTTCTTTCATGTTAAACTGAAAAGACAGCTTCCTAAGTGCATTACTACACCTCTTTTTAAAGTTCCAGCTTAAACTTTTTTTCTTTCTTTACTTTTCAAAGATTTATTTTTTATGAATACAGTGTTCTGCCTGCATGTATACCTGTACGACAGAAAAGGGCACTAGATCGCATTCATTATTGATGGTTATGAGCCACCATATGGTTGCTGGGATTTGAACTCAGGATCCTTGGAAGAACAGCTAGTGCTCTTAACCTCTGAGCTCTCCCTCTCAACCCCCCATTAGTACACCTTCTAGCATATCTCCTTATTTACATTTATTTAGTGTATTTGTATGTGTGTGTGCAGACACACATACATGCATACACCTGGGCTTTTGTCCTTTTTATGTCGTGATGTTCTTGTTGAGGTCTGAGGTCAACTTTTAGGAGTCAGTTTTCTTCATTGTCAAACTGTCTGATCCAATTCAATTATTATATTAAGCTTGTCACTCTTTCTCATACTGCAATTTTCTTCTCTGTTAAGACTACTTTCTGTACATTTAAAACTATTTCAGTGTGTGTGTGTTTACGTGTGTGTAAAGAGACACAGAGACAGAGGGAGACTGGGAGGGAAAGATAAAACCATTGAGAAGTGAGGCTTGAATTTAGCATTTTCTGTAGGTATACCTAATTGGGTAACTAATCACACACAGCATGCACAGGCTACATTTTTTAAGGCTGTTTATCTAGCTCTTAGTCTTGGTCATGTGTTATTGCAACATTTTTTTAGGCTGCTATCCTTAGTTATGTCGATGCAATTGCTTTGCCATTGAACTGTTCCTTAAATACTTGAGGTTCGTTTTAACACAGGCCCCACAAACTCACTGTTTTCCCTATCCCAGCATTACTGGAAAACAATGTACCATGTTTGGTTTTTACAGTTTTATTAAATACCTTGTGAAGGACCTTGGCTGGATTTATGATGAGCTGTGTTTACTGAGCATGATGAAATGATGCTCAAAATAATTACTCTGAAGTCTAGCCAAAGTGTCAGTTTAAGGACTTGGGTAACACTTTTGAGACTTAAGTTCTTGGAATATGATATCACAAGGCTTTTTCAAGGAGACTGGAGCTGTAGATTTTTCCAGTAAAGCAAAATTGATTTTAAACCTATTGCATTTCTTTTTTTGTAAGGTGCAGCTATTCCCAACACACAACAGCTTTCACCTTCATTTTCATGTGATAAATTCTACAAAGAAAGAATTGGAAGCTAGTATATCTATATATCTATATCTATCTATCTCTCTCTATATATACTAACCAGTCTTACCCTGTGTGATAGTTTCTTAAGCATGCTCAGAGTTATTGTGACTGTTTTTGCATTTACTGTGTTAATGAGTATTGCTATATTCTTATAAGACATCAATTGAATTTTGCATTAGATAGGGATTTTATGTTTTAATAGAATGCTGCGATTAAAATCATAGAAGTTAGTCAATTTTTATCCCTATAAGGCATTGGTGGAATAGTGACTTTGTGATTGATAATCATTGTGAGAATTACTTGGCAAATATTTTGGCAGTAGAATAGCTTACTATTCCTATTTTGCAACACTTGGTTGGGCAGTGTAATTATGATAATCTGCATGTCAGTTTGTTTCGGTTCCTCTGAATTGAGTCTACTTGAGCTTTTCTTTTTGTATATCATTTACTACTGTAATGTTTCCTTGCAGTGGAGTATCCTCCTGCCTTTCTAAGATTTACTGAGTCTGCATATCTGCATGCATGCATATCCGACAAGTAATTTTAAAACATCTCTAAATCTTCAGGGTACAATAACGTTATAGCTATGATATGACTTAATTTAAAATATGCTAGCTTGTTGGCATATTTAGTTATTTAACATGTAAGATTATTGAATGAAAAAAATACATCTTACATGGTACAGGGTACTTTACTTTTAGTAAATATCTTAGAATTTGAACAGAAAATGATTGCTATCATATAATAACTAACCACAAGGTAAATTTCTATAATGCACTCAGTAAAGTCATCTTTTTATGAAGATTAGGGAAGGCAAGATAATTTTCTGTTCATGTTTGAGTGGTTT